CCCCCCTGCCCCTCACACTCATCACCCCTCGGTCACACTTGATTTGACGTGAGGGTTGTTAAGGGTTGTCTAATTCTATGTGTCATGGTTGATTACTTGTTTGTTTTTGATGTAAGTTTCTGTTCATTGATTTTTTTTTTCTTTCTTTCATTCTTTCAACTTTATTCATATTTTTTTTAACCTTTATTTTAAAACTCACAGGTAATCGGAATTTCCTATTGTTTATGCTATTTGTGTCTAAGGCAATGATATGTCTTTCTTTTTTATTTTTCTTTCATTTTTCTTCATTCTTCTTTCATTTGTTCTTTCACCCTGAGTCTCTTGTGTCACAGCTGATCATAGTGTTGACTGATGCGGTAACTTTATTTTGGTCGACTTTTCCACTTTTTTTAATTTTTATTTTTATTTGTTTATTTTTATTTTATTTTTTTTTTAAGATGTCACAATTGATTTCCTTTTTTTCCCCCTGTTGGTTTATTTCCCTTGCATTGGTTCCTGTGTTGGTTTAATTCCTTTTGGTTTGATTCCCGTTTTTTAATCATGTTTTTTTATTCTTTTTTTTTTTTACTGTTGTTTTGCCTAGTCCGGTAAAACTAAGTCCTATTGGTTCGTGTCCTTAATTAATTACCACCTTTTTTTGCTTATTTCTTTTAATTCAGGTTAAAAAGAAACAGGGGGGGCGAGGAGGGGGGAGAGAGGGATGATGGAGGAGGAGAAGATCTAAGGGGCGTCTGTGCCGCCACCACCTACCTCTCTCCTCTCTCTCTCTCTCTCTCTCTCTTTTTTCTTCTTTTTTTTTCCCAGGACTGAAAATCAAAACCGTAGGGCGTGTGCCGTGTTACCGGGCTGGCCTTTTGTCGATGGTGCGGCGCCGACCATTTTTGTAGGGCAGGAAGCGAAATGGGATTTTAGCTCCTTAATTGATGGCATTGATGGTGTTGGTGTTAATGGGTGTGTGATTTTTTGTTGTTATTATTGTGTGTGTGTGTGGGGGGTAGGAGGAGAAAAGGTTGAGGTGGGAAAGATATTTTTTATTGATCCTTGTGTGTGTGTTGTTATTGTGTGTGTGTGTGTGTGTGTGTGTGTGATTACAGATGCAGAGTTTGTACAGGTGTGGGTAATTAGTACAGGTACAATGTTATTCCATAGATGTTTATTGTTATACAGGTGTTGTCTTCTGGTTAATTATGTGAGAAATATATACCTAAAGCCTAGACACAGTCATATATATATACACGTAGTAATTTGATTCCAGTTGTGTAGTGATCATCCCGAATTCTTCCGTGTTAAGAGTATATAGGCTAATTCACTCGTTCGTTCAAGCCCTCTCGTCAGCCAACGCTCCCTGGCATATCTGTTCACACCCTGTCGGTTCCTGGTGCATTGCTCTGCTGAAGTGATTTGACAGGCCATTGAGATTGATTCATGCATTATTCTTGCTGCCTTCCACTCCTGAGTTGGTATAAAAGAATAGTAACAGGGATGAGACTGATTCTTCGTGGCTAGTGTATGTGTGTGTGTGTGTGTGTGTGTGTGTGTGTGTGTGTGTGTGTGTGTGTGTGTGTGTGTGTGTGTGTGTGTGTGTGTGTGTGTGTGTGGCAGAGACCGAAAGAAAGATGCGTGTGTTTGTTCCTCTTCCATGTTATATTCAGGTAAGCCAATTTTCATCACTACGTTCTAAGTCTATATATATATATAATCGTTCTCTGTATTATTGTGTTTATTATCGTATCATTATTTTTTTTCTCTTCCTTGGTCATTCAGATTTTTTATATTGATATTATTCAGATTATTATTATTATTATTATTATTAAGTAAACAAACCAACGATTAAAAAGTTTTAAGTATGGGATACGTTCCTTACCCTCCCTCCCTCCCTCCCTCCTCCCTCTTCCCCCTCCTCCCTCTCCTTCCTCCTCTCCTATCTCTGGGTTGCTGCATATCTCCTCCGAAAATACCACTCTTTCTCTATATATCTCTCCCCCTTTCTTCCCCAGTCTTCTTCTGAGGCCATGTAATCCCTCCCTCTTCCTCCCTCTCCTCTTTTCTGGCTCTCCCTCCCTTTTTATTCGCGAAATTGCATTGCGATGATTGAGTCTCGAGGATTTATTCATTAATGACAATTAGTATCTCATCAAAAAAGTGTCGGTATGACAGTAAACACCAAGTGAATTCAGCAAAGTGGCAACTGTCCTTGGTTTTCCTCCCCCCCATCCCCGTCGGCTAGAGCCTGTCGGGCCTGTCATGCTTAATCTGCTCTGTCAAAACTCTAATGAAATGTGACACTGGTTTAAGGAATTTTTTAAGCATATTTCTGTCGGATTAGGTGGAATTTGTAAGCCTTTCCAGGGTCCTCTTGAGGCCTGGTTAGGTCCCCCTGTCTCGCTAGGAGGCGCACCGCACACCCCAGTACTGGTTGGGACTTGTATGCAAATATTGATTGTTATACCCAACACAGTTATTAATATTTTGCTGTCGAGATTGCAAGACAAAAACTGACTCGAGAGGGTTCCGCCTTCCTCTAACAGTCACGTTGGGTTTATTGTGTGTTTTCAACTCTCTCTCTCTCTCTCTCTCTCTCTCTCTCTCTCTCTGCTGTGTCTCATTTCACACACATTTTTTAAAAATCTTTTTACGTTCTCTCCCTCAGCCTTCCATCAACTCAAAACTTCCATTTTTATCCAACCTCTCTCCCCTCTCTCCCCCACTCACTCCTGAACCTAGGTATTCACTCTCCTTCCCTCCCTCTCTCACCTCCCTCTCCCAGCCTCTCACAACCCTTCTCTCCCTCCTCCTCTCCCCCACTTCACCGTCTGTCACTCTGTTACTCTCTCTCTCTCTCTCTCTCTCTCTCTCTCTCTCTTTCTTTCTTTCTTTCTTTCTTTCTCTCTCTGCCTAAATTGCCAGCCTTATTCTTTCTTTCTTTCTTTCTTTCTTCCTTTCTTCCATCCTTTCTTTCTTTCTTTCTTTAGTGCTCAGAAAATTCCGTCGTCATATATATTTCTTTTCTGATGCCATGACACCATTTATTTATATTCACTTACATTCCTTTATTCATCTTATTCATCCACTGTATTATTATTATTATTATTATATTTTGTTTCTTCTCTTCACTTTTGTTACCATAAATAAAACACAAAAAAGTAATCCTGTTTTTGTGTTTTGTTTTTATCCCCTTTTGTTTTTTTTCCTTTTCTCTTGTTTATCTACAATTTTTTCTATGCCTCCCTTTCGTCCTTCTCTCGTTTTCATTTTTTTGGGGGTAAATATCCAATTCAATTTTTTGTTTTATGACTGTTTTTATCACGTTTTTGCATGTCTCCTTTTGGGGTAAGGGCTGTGGAGGGGGGGCTTCACATTTTTTTGTCTAGTTTATCTTTTCAGTCTTCGTTCTGTTCTGTTATTTTTTTTTTACTATTCAATCATTTTTTTTTTTTTAAATTTATTCCATTTTTACATATTGGCTTTTGGTTTTGTTGTGTGAGGAGGAGGAGAAGTCTTATAGCAACTGGAGAGAGTGTGTGTGTGTGTGTGTGTGTGTGTGTGTGACAAGTACCTTTTCGTTTTAAATTTATTTTTTCTACAACTCTCTCATTTACATCACAACATTTAACTCTTACTTATCCACTCCAGTTATTTGAAGGAGGAGGTCACCATATCCAGAGAGAGGGAGGAGGAGGAGGAGGAGAGGCAGGAGGGAGAGAGAGGGGAGGAGAGGCAGGAGGGAGAGAGAGGGGAGGAGAAGGTGGAGGAGAGGGGGAGTGGGAGAGGGACTTAATACATAGGCATACACTATACAGTATACATAGAGGCTAGGAATACATACACAATCACCACCACAGTATTAATATATTTCACACTACTTTATATAAACTATTAATTGAACCAAAAAATAAAAATAAATCCTCTTAATTTACATCACAGTCGAGGCAAATTAGCTATGTACTCGTTAACTCACGCGAGGTTGGACTCTTACGCTGTACTGAGTCCCTTTAGCACTCATTGCTTACAAACGTGACGTCATAGTTATTTTGGTGGGGTTGATTATGATGTCATTGTTGTTTTGAGAGAGAGAGAGAGAGAGAGAGAGAGAGAGAGGGGGGACTTAAGTGGTGTAGTTCCTCTTGTTGGTGTTACCTAACCTAACCTACCCTGACCCCATTTACACTCCCGGACACTGTGGTCACTGCCGGCAACCACAGTGACGTTTATTCAGCCGTCAGACACCTGTGAACAAGCGGCGTCCTTGTTGGTATGTTAACATTGTTACTGAAGCTGTGCTGTCTGGGTGGGTGGGTGGGCGGGTGGGTGGGTGGGTTGTGTGGGTGGGTGGATGGTGTAACCTTCTCTGGTGTATGTGTTGAACCGTTCATTGCCTCAGCTGAGTTTGTTGTTGTTGTGTGTGTGTGTGTGTGTGTGTGTGTGTGTGTGTGTGTGTCAGTAAAAGTGTTCATGCTGCTGACTAATACCAGTAAATATCCCTCTTGTTGTATCTTATAAACACTATGAAGAGGAAGGATGAGCCAAACTAATAATACTGTAAGTTGAAAATTTTGGTCTTGGTGTAGATGGTGAGCCGTGTTATTGGTGGTTCTGGTTATTATCAATATTATGGTGATACACAAGTGCAGTGTCATGTACGCCGCCAACAGTGATAGCCAGATCTTGTTGCCTGGCAGCCTCCAACACCAGCCATATAATAAGGTGTGTCTTGCTCCTCTATAATCCACTTTAGACACGGGAGAGAGGGGGGGCGTGTAGAGGAGCCTGGTAATCTGTAATACGGGAGGACGTAGTTTCACGGTATAATGTGGGGTCACTGGATGGCAATAACATACACATAAAATTCAATTTCTCGTATGACAGCTGCATTAATATTAGAGTCAGTAAATGGGTTATCATAAAAATCTTTCTCTCTCTTTTTTTGTGTTATTATTTAGTCAATCATTGTGTGTTGTGTCGTCCTTGTGCGTGTATTAATCTGAGATTATTTCTTGCAGGATGGGCCGGCGAGGCGAGGCGTGGGTATCCTCGCGGTGAGTGACGCCCGGGGCCGCCATGGCAGTAGTAGCAGCAGCAGCAGCAGCGGCGGCGCCAGCGGCGCACCCTCTAGCTGTCCGGGCCGTTCGCATCTACCTGCTACTCAGCGGACTCCATCTCGTCCTGGGCGGTTCCCTGCTACCGGAGGCGGGCGGGGGGTTGAGCCCTCCTAAAGAAGACTCGGAGGCGGTGCAGTGGGAACAGAATGCTGGCACAGTAGCATTCAACGTGACGCGTGCTGTGGTGGCACAGTTCACACCAGCCAATGGCACCCACAGACTCACTCACCTGTCGCTCGACTCCAACACTGATGATGTCTACCTTGGTGCTGTGAACCGCCTCTATCAGTTAGATGGTGACACCTTCTACCCGCTGCACCAGGTGGTAACGGGACCTCGACAAGACTCCCCGTCTTGCCACGCTAGTGGGTGCGAACCCCACGTTCAGAAAGTGCCCACTGATAACTACAATAAGCTGCTCGTAGTAGCACAGTCTGTTGGTCGAGTGATAGCGTGTGGGTCTGTGTCACAGGGCGCATGTGACACTTATCACCTAGGGAACATCTCGGTGCATCGGAATTACATTCCTAAGTCCGTAGCAGCCAACCACCCCAATGCCTCTACGTTTGCATTCGTGGGACCAGAACGGTACCACCCATGGGGTGGCTCAGAGGCACTTTACGTTGGCACCACCTTCACCACCGTCGGGGATTACCGTCACGATGTTCCCGCCATCTCTACCAGAAATCTCTATGATCTAGATTACGCAGAGTTTTCCTACTCTAAACAGTCACTACTTCGTATAGATGTTAAGCTACGGGACCACTTCCTCGTTCAGTATGTCTATGGTTTTAATGCTACCAACTACGTGTATTTCCTGACGGTGCAGAAGAAGTCGCACCTCCCAGGACAAGAAGAATCTGGCTACGTGAGTCGCATCTCTAGGTCTTGTATCTCGGACCCCAACTATGACTCTTACACGGAGATCACACTCGAGTGTCAGGGAGGTGACAGCGCCAACTACAATCTGGTGCAGGACGCCAAGCTGATCCGTGCAGGCAGTGACCTGGCCGCCAGCATGGGCATGGCCAAAGGTGACCCGCTCCTGGTGGGCGTGTTCGCGCCCTCACAAGGACACACAGCGAGGCCTGAGACCGCCTCTGCCGTGTGTGTGTACTCTGTGCATGATATTGAAGCCAAGTTTAACGAAAACATCCACATGTGCTTCAACGGGTCCATGTTGTACCGCAGTATGGAGTACATCTCTGGCCCCATCCTCAACGGCAAGTGTCCCCAGCAGGGCACCATGGGCAACATCCTCTCCTTCTGTGAAGTGGGTCTCAAGATCTCCGGCCCGGCGCCTGTGGTGGGCAGGGCGGCACTGCGGCTGCCCAGGACCTTGGTGACGGGGTTGCAAGCCACAGCTGCCGCCGCCCACACCGTCGCCTTCCTGGGCACCAGCACCGGCACCATCAAGAAGGTAAGTCCTCCACCTTGTTAGACTCGTCACGTGTGAGACAAAAACGTAATCTCTCACTGCTTAATTTGGATGCTAATGAAGGTCTGATAAATTGTCTTCGAATCCCCTTACGACAAAGATCACTGAAGTTTAATATCTCTTTTACAACCGTGATGAGCCCAGAGTCCAGCTGTTGTTTGTGGTGAAAGTAACACCAGAAGTGAGTTATGATAACTCACTAACCTGTGTCATAACACTTGGGGTAGTACTTATTAACTGCCTGGACAGTAGGAGCGGCTACCACCACTACTCACGGTAACCTAACTCACCCCACTGCCTCTCCTAGCACACACTCCCTTCCCCGACCCCATGTCTCCCTCTGGCTCACCCAGATCTCTTGCCACATCTAGCTAACCTACTCTCCCCCCCTAAACCCCTGCCTCCCCTCAAGCCCCTTGCCCTCCCTATCACCTTACGTCCCCCAGCCTCCGTCGTGTGGTGGCGCGTCACAGACTCTGATGACATTTTAATTAGACTTCTTCGTCAGTTCTCTCTTCAGGTTTTTGTGTCGTGGTTTTCATAATGAATTGAGCCGCCTCACAGGTTGATCCTTATCGAGGAAACAATTAGCAGATATTCCATACCCCAAAAACGTGTAGAAAGGCAAAAGATGGAAGGAAAAATATCTCAGTATCTTAAGTTATCTGCCGAAGATATGTACACCACCTGACGTCATGGCTAGGTTAGGTTAAAGTGTGTGTGTGTGTGTGTGTGTGTGTGTGTGTGTGTGTGTGTGTGTGTGTGTGCTTTTAAACGCATGTGCATGTATTCCTGTGTATTTATGTGTTGTGCCATATGCGTGTTTGCATATATTTGAGTGTTTGTTTGGCAGGAGGCACAGTAAGCGGCGGCACTAGTAAGGGTGACACGCCGCCACACTTGTACTCATCCCTAGTAATCGATGCTGTGTGTTGGTAAATAAGTGATATGTTACGCGTGTAAATAAACAATAGGATTTAATATATCCGATAATGGATTGGATTTACCTTTGTGTTTTCATGTATATCGGGCGGTTAATTTTGGTAAACTGGATTAATTTTCGTGTTTGTTGCTCCACCCACCCAGATATTACCAGCTGGGGTACGATGCTGCAAGTAACCACCACCACCACCACTACCACCATGTAGAGGCACCAGTAGGGGAGAGAGTGAGAGAGAGAGAGAGAAAGTGAGAGAGAGAGAGGGAGGGGGAAAGTTAACGAGAACAACAAGGAGACGCAGCTTCTCCAGGGCCTCCCACTGACCCGTTCTGCCAGATGGTCTGATGACCCTTTAATTACCCCCTACTTCCCCCCCCCCTCTCTCCCCACCTCCTCCTCCCTCTCCTTTTCCTCCTCCTCCTCTATTCTCCCTCATCCTCTTATCCCCCAAGTAGAAGGGTAGAAGAAGAGGTGTAGAGATAGACGGAGAGAAGAGAGTTGAGGAGGCAAATGGAGAGAGAGAGAGAGAGAGAGTATAGGAAAGCAGTAAAAGGCAAGGGGGGGTGGGTGGAGGGGAGGGGTGTGTGTGGATGGAGGGGGGACACAGAGGGAGGAGCTAGAGGGGGTATAAGGTAGGATGATGAGTGGAAGATAACTAGAAGGAGTGGAGGGATAGATAGAGGGAGGTGGAGGGATAGGTTGAAGGCCAGGAACACTGTGTCGACTGTCGTTCTCACTTTTCATTTCGGCTAGATTAGGTTTGGTTAGGTTAGGTTAGGTTAGGTTAGGTTAGGTTAGGTTAGGTTTGGTTAGATTAGGTTATTTACGATTATGGTTGACGCTAACGACCACAACCTCGTCACCTGTCACCACACAAATGTCGGGTCGATCATTAACACTCATTATTTACCTGTATTGAATCACCTGCCGAGGGGGAGGGGGTGTGGGGGGGGGGGGAACATACAGTAAACCCAAGTGCCATCAAATTACTCTATTGAATCGTTAATAAATTTATAATATATATAATACCACATCATGGACACTTTCATCGCTCTTTCATGATCAAAAAACAGGAAAATATATAATGTGTGGTGAGGTTAAAACTATATATATGAACAATATATAACCTGGATATATTGCCGGTGAATGATTGAATATTCGAGTCAAAAGAGTTCAGGTAGAATGAATAAAAAGATATATATTTAACTTATTCACAATACCTATGAGCTATTAAATGACTCCACGTGTTAACCTCGAACACCAAGAGACGATAAATATATACCTCGTGTGAACCCCACCAGTGAAGTAATGAATAACTCCAAGCTCATTATAACTCACAAGATGTTTAAAAAATATGAATATCGTTAATTATGAGTGAGTAAATAGCTCCTATTAATGTTATTATTCGTATTTAACTTATAGCATAGTGTCTAAATAAATTAATAGCTCACTTTCCACTACACAGTAATCAAAAGATCGATCAAAGTTGGGTTTTTTTATTCGTGAATAGCTGGGTTAGGTTGGCTTGGCTCGGCTTGGGTCAGATTGGGTTGGGTTAGGTTAGGTTAGTCGAAAGCCATGTATAAAATTGAGAGAGAGAGAGAGAGAGAGAGAGAGAGAGATGAATATAAACACCAGGCGATAATTAAAATCAATCCATCATTAATTATAATAGATACTACTCCTGCGCTCTTCAATAACTAAGGCCTTTAACTACGTAACTACAATAGGTCGGTAATTAAACTAGTCCATCAACAATTAATACAACTCATTTTAACAGAGAGAATTAAACAAGAAGAACCAATCATGTCTTCCTTCCTCCGCCTTGGAATTACTGAACTACCACGAAATCATTCACCACAACATCTAGACTTGGGACTTGTCAGTATCTCGAGTCATCAGTCACCGCCAAACACTGTCTTTGAAGTAATGGTTTTAGCGAATATGAATCTCCTACCTAGTATTTTCCTCACACCCCACACACTTACACCACCTTATCCCACCACCTCACCCCCGACCCACTACACCACTCACCCCTACCCGGTTAATATTTAGTAGTTATTAACACCTATTTGTATATTGACTTTTGTATGGGCAGATAGAGGAAAAACTAAAATAACTTATTCTATAACGTTTCCTTCGCCAATTTTTAGTTTTTGAGTTATTTTTAAATTTATATTTGAATTACTCGGCCAGTCAGCGTGAGTCAAAGTCTATAATTATACGAATGAAAGAAAAGCTCGTCCGAAAGCTATTGAATTAACCGTGTGCCGCAAAGCCGGAATCAGCTCCATCTATCGGCAAGGCCCAAAATAAAATCCAGCTCCGAAAAGGGGGGGGGGGGTAATCTCAAACTCCACCTCTGCGTCTCGAGTTATTATTCACTATAATTTTTATTATATTTTTGTACGTTCTCTGAGTTTATTAACCATTAAGTTATTGTTTTCTCGACATGTACTGTAAATCGTATATAGTCATAGTCTTTGGAGCGAGCTCTTTCCTTGGTCGAACTCGAAATACTTAGCAACTGGCGTCGCATCGGCTGCATGCCGGCCAGGGTCGTGGCGCCGAACGTAAACAACTCGTATGACGCGGAGGAAATAATTTCTTTAAGTGAATCTCAACTGTAATTATGCATATATACACTCAACTGTTCCTGTTGTCGAGGGAATCGACGTATTCGGTCAACAGACGATGTTCTCACCGATACTAACGCCTTCTGCCTCAGAGGCCCTTACTACACGCACACCCAAAAGCTCCAGTTTTCCTATCTTTCGTATATGGTCTCTTGCGTGAGTGTCGATGTGACGTGATAGTTGTGCGCATGCGCTTGATTTTTCATTGGCCAATCAGCGCTAGCCTTGATGAGCAGGCAGAGCAGGTAGTTGGAAGATGGCGTCTGTGTGTGTGAAAGGTGTACTTTGGCTGACCGGCGCGTTATTTAGCGCGTTTTGGACAACTACACCTCAGCCGTTGACATCTTTAAGGATTACGGTGTTCTCGTTTCGTCAGTAAAGTGTCCGAGATGTGATTCCGAGTGTCAGTGCCGTGTAGATCGTCATACTGTGGTAAGAGACGGACGCTGACGAAGAGGAAGGGTCCTGGCCAGTGTGGATTTTCACCTATATCTCCTAATTAAGATAAGTTTATTATACACCGGCGGGGGGGAGGGGGTCCATGGGCGCTTGGAAGTTAGTTCAGGTATTTCTGGTTTGGTTAGGTTAGGTTTTATTAGTTTTTTGGCGATTTTTTACCCTCCATTTTATTAATATCCCCCATAACAGCTCATATCTGACGGCAATTAAGGTCATAGTTGTATTTACACGATGAATTACACTATTAAAGCCGATTTCCCATAGTAATTTAGGTGTTAACTACTAAATATCTCTCCCCTACCCTCACACCCTCAGCCTTGCACTCCTCACCCCCATAACCTTACACCCCTCCCCAACACACCCCCTTCCCAACACACTACACCCCTTCCCCCACACACTACACCCCTTCCCCCACACACCACACCCCTTCCCCCACACACTACACCCCCTTCCCCCACACACTACACCCCATTCCCCAAACACACCACACCCCATTCCCCAACACACTACACCTTCCCCACACACTACACCCCTTCCCCACCCACTACACTTCCCCCACCCACTACACCTTCCCACCCACTACACCCCCCACCCACCACACCCCCCCTCCCACCCACTACACCCCCTCCCTCCACCCACTACACCCCCTCCACCCACCACACCCTCCCCACCCACCACACCCCCCCCCCCCACCCACCACACCCCTCCCCACCCACCACACCCCCCACTCACACCCCCCTCCCCCAACCACCACACCCCTCCCCACCCACCACACCCCCTCCCCACCCACCACACCCCCTCCCCACCACTACACCCCTCCCCCCACCCACACTCCCCCACCCACTCACCCCCCCCACCCACTACACCCCCCCCCACCCACTACACCCCCTCCCCCACCCACCCCCCACCCCTCCCCACCACTCACCCCCTCCCCCCCACCCACTACA